GAATGTAGGCCTAGTAATTGATGTTATAAATACACACGCCTGATTTTTGTTTTAATTATCCATCGTACATAAAAAAACCAACAAAAAACATTTGCAATCAAGACAAAAAAGCCAGAAGTGAATGTAAACCAGATTTGGCCCAGACTCTGTTGCTATCTGTGAAGCCAAGCATAAGAATAGCCTACTAATGTACATTTGTTAACCCACAGTAACACATTTTAACAGATTAATCGCATATTTTCGTTTGCTGCATGCTTTTAAAAACACAATAACATTTTCTTTTTGTTTGTTTTTTTTGAGGAAAATAAAAAAAGATACGTCTACAAGAATAATAGCAAAGTTAATAAGAATTCTTTCTAAATGCAGCACCGTTCTTATTTCGTTCTGCATAACCTGAACGATAAAATTTTTTTTTGCTAAGAACGAATCGAAATGAAAACATTTAGCTTTTAATCTGTGTATTTAACAGCCTGGGAAACCTTCCCAGGGCAGTACCTTGCCTCACCGACTAAAATCTGGGCGCCCACTACGGAGGCGGCACCAGAGGTGAGGGGGCACAGTGACCGAGGTGGCCGGGCCGGGCACTGGACATGAGGGTGAGTTAAGTGCTTGTCAGCTGGTGTGTGCTGGTCTCAGTGGTTCAGATGGAGGTTCACCGGAGAGGAACAGGGAAGGTGAAGGGTCTGGAAAGAGACTCTGTGCTTCATCGTGAAGCAGACGTTGCTACACTTGTTCTCTAGGTCAGGTTAAAATCACATTCTTAAAACGTAGGTAGTTGCTGTCTTATTTTCACATTTTAATTTGTATGTATAGTTCATATTTATTTTCATATTAAAAATACGCAATTTCCACTCTTTCTGGAGTGAGTCTGCAGTCGTTAGTAAAGCTGTAAAGCAGAGGATGGTTTTGAGCCTCGTGTCTGTGATCATGTGACACTCGCTGAGGTTCTTCACTCGTTCCAGTGCAAGTGGACTCAGTTTATGTGCACTGCTAATCAGTCACTATTCTTTACACTAATTAACTGGTTTAATTCTGATCGTCTAATGTAGGAGACGCGTGGTGCGGTGGAGGGGCTGCACCCACACAATGCAGTTTAATTGTGAGGATGAGCCGTGATCAACGGTTCCTCTGAATGAGACCGAGAGAAACCATTTTCTTCTCCTCTGTTTTGTTCTTTGAGTGAGAAACACAGGTTGTGTTTTATTAATTAATATATTGATTTGATTCATTGCTTAATTAATAGTGAGAGGCAATTTCCTGATATAGTACATATGAAATACACTTAAGATCATTATTGGTCGAGCATGTTCAATATATATATTTTTTTTTACACTGTTTGGGGTTAGTAATATTTGTAAATGTTTTTATTTTTATTTATTCATTCATTTTATTTATTTTTTGTAATGTTTTTGTTTTTGGTTCTGCTCGCCAAGGCTACATTTATTTGATATTTTGTAACATTTGTGTTTGCATTTATTTACTGTCACTTTTGAACAATTTAATATGTCCTTGAAGGATAAAAGCATTAATAATAATAATAAAAAAAAAATCTTAATTTTGAATAGTGAATGCAGACGTGTGAAGCTCATCAGTTCTGCTCTGTACGTATGTTTGAGATGTTTATGTGAGGTGGTCCGGTAACAGTGACGCAGCTGCCTGAGGTTTATTGTGTTTCTCCGAGTGAGATGTGATGATGTGCGGTGGCTAGGTGAGGTTTTTATGTAGATGGTGGATCTCAATGTGTTTTGCTGATTTGTGGTGGTTCAGCTCTGTATTTGGAGAGTTTAGCTTTGCTTCCCAGTCATTTATCATCTTGATCTCTCTTATTTAGAGATAGATATGTAACACATCGAACTGCTTCTCTGACCTTTACTGATGACCTGGATCTGCTCTGAGTTTGCCTTTCAGTTGTATTTCTATGTGCTTAGGAAAAGGAAGACTCTGTGTTCTCACGTCACAGGAACAAAAACAAGAACTTAGCATAGATGTTTTTTCTGAGTTGTGTTTGATGTGGCCGTTTCTCTGAGCACTCACAGATGAACTTGTTCACATTTACAGCTGCTGTTGCAGTGAAACATTAACCCCTCGCAGCTGCGCTCCTGCACTTAGATTGTGTTTCTCTGAACCTCTGATGTGAGAGACTAACTATAGGCCTCTGATCTGAACACACACTGAACCTCTCCAGACACACACACACACACTCTCTCTCTCTCACACACACACACACTCTCTCTCTCTCACACACACACACACTCTCTCTCTCTCACACACACACACACTCTCTCTCTCTCACACACACACACACTCTCTCTCTCTCACACACACACACACTCTCTCTCTCTCACACACACACACACTCTCTCTCTCTCACACACACACACACTCTCTCTCTCTCACACACACACACACTCTCTCTCTCTCACACACACACACACTCTCTCTCTCTCACACACACACACACTCTCTCTCTCTCACACACACACACACTCTCTCTCTCTCACACACACACACACTCTCTCTCTCTCACACACACACACACTCTCTCTCTCTCACACACACACACACTCTCTCTCTCTCACACACACACACACTCGCACACACACTCACACACACACTCACACTGCTTGACCCTTCATTAACAGTTGCACATGTGGCATATAGTGCATAATAGTAATTCAAGAAATAAAGGTTTTTGTCTGTAAACCAGGGATTGACACAGAGTCACATGTGCTCCTAAGTAGAAACAAATAGAAATCATAAAACCGTCTTCAGGGTTGCGATGGTAATTGGCCAATTTATGTGTTTTTCCTTAATTAAGGGGATACAAGGATACATTTACAAGCAGAATGATTTTGCTTATTTATTAGAATGCATACATATACTAGGTTTTTAAATATTCTGCTTTAAACTGTATTTAATAATTATGCAATTATCCAAAGGCCCTCTTTGCTTAACTGTAAAAAACAGATTATTATGACAATACTAGTAAAATATATTTGTGACGAGCGGCCCAGACTGAAGCTACAAGAGTTTACTCACATTACTAACTGCCATATACTGTTTATGTAACCAAAATACCAATAATAACTATGAAAAACATTATTATTTATTATTGCCAGCTGCTCATTTAAAAAGATGAGGGAGTTCAAATAAACACTCTTACAATATATACACAATAAAATAAACATTACTGTTATATCTGCTGTTGATTATAACAATCTATTAGAATAAATGCGTGGTATTCATATATTGCAAACTGCTCTGAAACGGTGAGCCTTTAGCACCGCGTTTTAACTTTAAACGTGCAACACTTACATTTATTTAATGAAATCACAGCCTTTTGAAGTTTAATAATCACATTAGACTGTATTACCATTCCATTTTTTTCATCCCCGAATTTAAGACCTCCTGAAATGATAATTAAGACGTGTTATACCATTGGTATTTTCAAGAGACTTTACAACCTTAAATTTCAAACCGATTTTTTTTTAAAATACACAGGTATTTTTCCGCATACATGCTCAGAAATATATTTTCACAGTGAAACTCTCGCACTGTCAAACCCTGTAAACCATGAAAGAAAGCATGCTAGAGACTGCGGTGACGTCTGTGTTGTTCCTCAGGAAATGGTCCGGATCCTGCAGCACCCGCGGGTCTACGCCTTCCTCCACGTGCCGGTGCAGTCTGCGTCTGACAGCGTGCTGATGGACATGAAGAGAGAGTACTGCTGCGCAGACTTCAGACGCGTCACAGACTTCCTCCAGGAGAGGTGAGTCCTGCAGGAACGGCTGAGGACCTTCACTGTGACGCTTGTGTTCAGGAACACAGGGAAATGAGCTCAGGCTGGTGTCTGTCATCCATGTGATGCAAACTCCTCACCTTTCAGTGACAACTCACTTTTTTTAGATCAAAATAGGTCACCTGTGAGATTTGCTAAGATCCAATGAGAAAGCGTTTTTTTGAGGGGGGGTGGTAAGACTGGTTACCCCTTGGCAACTATTAGTTGGTCAAACTAGTTCTTAAGACACGGTATTAACATAGTGGCTAAGTTTGTGCAACTAGCACCTGGTTGTTCAAGTTTTGTATAGTATTTTCTAGGGATGCAACGATACCATTTTTTCAGATCCGATCCGATCCAGAACATTCTGAGCATCGGCTGATCCCGATCTGATCTGATACCAGCGCAGTTTTTTTAAGTCAATGTAGAATTTCTCTACTGCTGTGTGTTGACCTGATCATCACTCTTTCGTGTGTTAAACACAATCTACTAAATATAGACAACTTCATTTCAATGAAAAATAACAAATTGAAAAATATATTATCATAAACTATGACAAAAATACTATTATAAACTAGGTTAGTGGATAATTTAGCAGCAAAAGTTATTCTAGAAAAATCATGAGTGCACAATTTTATCAAATCTAAACATTTAGTGAAATAACATTATTTAGTGGGGAACAAATACCAGTGAATAAGTGTAGGACTAAATCTGGTAAAATGTTACACATTGCTTTCTGTATTGTTGTAAAATACATTAAACAAGTAAATGTATTTATATATAAACTGTAAAATTAAAAGACATTTGTTTGAAATGTATAGCACAGTAATGAAGGCAGCAGCATGTGATAGAGGAGTGCTATCTGTCTTCTATTACTGCCTCCATCACTGTGCTGTACATGAGATTATCCTATCAGAGGACAGAACAAGAAAAGCTATAAACAATCTTCCATTGCGCAAAAGTATTATAATACGGAAAGCTCCTATACAGTATGACACAAAGCGCTTATGTGCATCCCGTGCTCAGAATGATGCGGAGTCACAGCGCAGAAGTTCATAGCACAAAGGGAAGAGATATTGATGAGTAGTTTATTAAATCTGTGATAATTTAGTGAGCCTGTTCTTTGAACGGTTTTAAATCTCAGTTACTGTGCTCTTGAAGAGAGTTTCTTCGTCTTGACTGTGGTAACCGAACACGACACGCAGCTTGAACACTGAATAGAGGATGACACACAGCTGCGGCGGAGAGAAGAGTTTACGAGAACTTGACTTAACACTAACACAGAATAGTATCCGCAGAATATCAGATTTGGATCGGTCTCGTCTGACTGATACCTGATCCGGCAGAAAACGCCAGTATCAGATCCATGCATCCATAGTATTTTCGTTACTCTTTACTTCAAAAACTGTCTAAAAAGGGTAATATTTTATGTATTTGAGGTCTGAGATGTGGGAACAGTGAAGAGAGAGAGAGAGGGCAAACATTTAGCATTTTAGCTCAGCATTGCTGTCTAATCAGCCAATATTGTCTTTAATAGCCTGCATAGCACTTCAATTTTTATAACATGGGATTTTGACCAAATATATTCAATTTAGATTTTTGTAAAATGTTGCAAACAGTTACAGTTTTGGACATACAAGGTTATAAAAAAAAAAACCTTAAAGTAACTACAAATTTGCATATAAAGCAGAGAGCATGCCCCGATCCACGCAGTGTTCTCACCTTTCCCCCTTTACCTGTTTATCTCTGGTTGAATGCTGGGTAACGGTGGATGAAGAGTGATATATATATATATATATATATATATATATACTATACACTCAATAGTATGGATTAAATCTTGACATTTTGCAAATGCCAGTTTTTATGAGTTTGATAAGCTCTTCATTACTGTTTATGATTATTGTTCTCGAGTGCATTTGTTGGAGAGCAAATCAATGAGTCGGATGCTGAAACACGGGTATGAATGGAGGACACGATAGAGGTCAGTCAGGTATCGATGCTTGTGCTTTAAAATTCTGAGCTTCAAATCCAGATGTTCTGCAATTGAATCAAAGTAACGAGCAGACAAATGCATCTGTACTGAGAGCTTTGACAGCTGGAGAAACTGAGAATGTGTCTGATCGAGAGACTGCTGTGTGTTAGGTGTGTGCTTGTGTCTGTACTTTAAGAGGCTGGAGCGGTCAGCGCTGGGCTTCTCTTTCACTGCCCCTTCACCTCGCAGACAAACACGGCTCACTTTACCCTCAGCCCCGCTGAGGTCACGGGGTCAAACGCCTGTTCCCTATCAGGTGGCACAGAGTCGCTTCAGATGGCTCGACACGAAACTTATGCTCACAGCAGAACTTCAGACAGAGAACGCTGAAAAACCACGGCAGTGTGTGTGTGAGTAAGTGTGTGAGAGCAGATGTTGTGAAGAATGTGTAAGTGAGTGAGTGAGTGTGTGTGTGAGTGAGTGTGTGTGTGAGTGTGTGTGTGAGTGAGT